GAGTTGCTTCGATCTTCCAGAGGGACCTGTATGGGCCACCAATGTCGGAGCTAAATCTAGCGGATCTCGGGTTGGGGGTCCCGATTTGGTAGTCTTGGCTAGATGGTAACAAGGACACAAGGGACACGAGGTTTACCTAGGTTCAGTCCCTCTCGAAGAGGTAAAACCCTACGTCCTGCTTTGTATTGATTGTGGATAGGGTACAGAGTATATGTGATCTACCGCGAGATCGTATGTGAATGAATCTCCCCTCTACGACCCTGGCACCTCCGCTTATTTACATACCGGGGGTACCTAGGGCAAACGTGTCAAGGACTATCTTACGCCTTGGAGAATACGCCAAGTCTTCGTGTCGTGCCGAGGTGGACAATATAGCAAGAGGAGCTGCTAAAGGTGTATTCACGAAAGTGTGTGCTGTCTCAGAACGGTACTGTGCTGAGGTGGACAACAAAGCAAGAGGAGGATCTAAAGGTGTATTCACGAAAGCGAGGTGAGGGTATTGCACATCAAGTGGAGCAACTAGATCAGCCACCGGCGGAACAACAAGGTAGTACTGATGTGATTTCCATCTCTGCGGGGATCAGGCTGAAGGGCCAGTGGCCACAGTATGAATTATCATCACTGCTCTTGGTTCTTGTCAGTTGTCACATGCTTGAAAGCACTAATGATTTCCCAACTAAAAGTAGTAATATTTTCTCCTTGATGCTTATATACGTGCCGCCTTAAATGATCCTAAGGATGAAATAATGATAGTTCTTGTGTGATTTCTGATTTTTAATGTTGTCATGGTGATGGTTCAACTAAAGAAAAGGAGAAGCTGGAAGGTAACATTTGTAGGGTTTTGGATTTGTTTAGTATGTAGCGTTCAATACCAGGGGTCAGCTTTGAGCCCTTATTGACCTGCAATGTTGTATGGTGCTGAGTGTTGGCCGACTAAAAGGCAACATGTTTAATAGTTAGGTGTGGCGAAGATGCGCATATTGAGATGGATGTGTGGCCACACAAGGAAGGACAGAGTACGAAATGATGATATACGAGATAGAGTTGGGGTAACACCGATTGAAGAGAAGCCTGTCCAACATTGCCTGGTCTTACTTTTCATGTTAGCATATTATATTATAATGACATTAACTCTTGAGACAACCTGCGAAAAGAACTTCATCTTTTAATATCCTTTGCAGGTGTTATTAACCACTCATTTTCTTCAGCATGAACATCATCTTGGTCGGCTATTAACCAAGTAAGTTGCACATCTTGAATAGCATAGCTCAGTTGGAATCTCAACTTTTTTTTCCTTAATTACTGTATCCTGTTTCTGTGAGATATTTACTTCTGTATTATATATATATATATTCTATTTTAATGATCGGCTCACATGTATGTAGATATTTGGTCAGCTTTGAGTTTCAAACTGCAGTAGTCGCAATGGAAAAATAAAAATTTATCCCTTGCCCCTCTTCTTAGCAAGTTCATTTTTTTATTTTAAATTGCCACTAATTCTACATTTTTGCTGTTTTGTATTTCACAGAATCTAGGTAGCCTTTTGATGGATTTCCTGTATTTTTTTGGGTGTAAGTGAGTATGTATGAACACTTTATTGTTTAAAACACAAGGGAAAAGATGAGTGCCTGATGTGGAAAAAGCGTGTAAAGTATGCTACAATGACTATAGGACCCTTGTGTATGGTTTCTCTTTTGGGATAGCTAAATTAGCAATATATTGGTGGGTCTGACATCTAACCGCTTTCAAACATTCTGGATGACAGGAATGTGTTTGATCCACACCATAAGCGTATTTCCATCCAAAGAGGAATTTATTTGAACCGAGAAAGAGGGCACAGGTAATAAAAGTCGATGTCAGTAATACATTGTTTCTTTCTGTCACCTTCTGCCTATGGTAATTTTCCATATAGTTGATTTTGCAGCATTGATCCAATTCACATCGATGATCCTCTTTTCCCTGCTAACATTGTGGGCCGGAATTGTTTCCGGGTCCACCACTGAACCAAGGTTGGCTCAAATTATCTTTTCTGGACTGGTTGAATCCTTCTGTTCTTGTCTAGAGCTTTTGGAGTTGTGGCAATGCTGTGATTATGCTCTTTTATCTGGTAATTTGTTTGACCGGACAATCTTGGTATTGAAATTTAGTCTTTGTGCGGTGCTAGTACTAATGCATTCTTTGTTTGGCCTTTGAAGATATAAATATTCGTCCGGCAAATCACGGATCAACAAGATAATCATGAGGGGCAACCGATGTCAACGCCGAAATAGCGCGCTTGTCGGAAAAGAAGAGAATTGCACATAGTAGAAATTTGATCTTTGGCCTACTTGCTATATAGTAGCAACAATTAATGCCACCATGATTAAAAAAGTACAATTTCTTCAAGAGGACTAATTCCTTGTTAACGTACAACAGGTGACCAATCTTATCAAACAGAATACATTACTAACGAAGCCTATCCTTCGTGAGTGTTGAGAGGCGAATCTGACAAAAGAGTAAGAGAGATAGCTAGCTTGAAGGACAAAAGCAGAAGTATATGAACATATAGATCAGCTTGGATAGGACACCCAAATGGATGGGCCTTTAAAGGGGCTTGCCCTCTACGGATTTGGGGCCCTCCTGGAGAGAGAGAAACAAAGTTGAAGCAGCCGACAACCATAGCAGGATGGGTAGACTTTTGTTGTTAGACCCTACCCACCACAACGACACATACCCGACAACCACAACATGATGGATGTGCCTTTACAGGATGAGTCAACCCAAAAACCCTGTGGGGAAATATGAGGAGAATAGTATAGATATGTTGCTAAAACTCCTTTAAACCCGATGGAAAAAATATAAGGAGAAAATGATGTAACAAATAATGACTATTGTCAACTTGATAACACATATGAGAAAAAAACTTTGAAGAAGGAGAAAACTCGTGGTGAGTTTGGAGAACAATATGCTTTCTATACATTCCTTTAAAAACCCCAGTGGGAAAAATAGAAAGTATTGCATATGTCGCCTCATTAGAAACATTTTATGAGAAACTTCAAGAAAAAGCTCATAAGAAAAAAGAGTATGATCTGATATGCCATTGAAAACTCCTTTAAAAATGTATACAATGTAAGAATAATTTTATACAATGTTAATAGCACAAAAAAATGTTGTAACATTTTGAAAATGTTCATGCATTTAAAAAAATGTACTGTCACATTGTAAATAATGTTTATACAATGTAAAAAATGCCCGTGTAATTGAAAAGTAATGCTACCTACCATTCAAAAAAAATTAAAATTAAAAATTTATGAGTTTCAAAATATGTGATTTTTTTAAAATTATACAATGTAAAAAGATGTTCCTAATTTAAAACAATATTTTTATCATTAAATAAGTTTCAATGTGTATTTAAATTTTTTTAACACTTATTCAAAAAGATCTATTATATAAAAATTAATCATATATGTGAAAAATGTTAAATATGTATGAAAATGTACTATGCACGAAAAAATACATAAAATATATATTTGGTAAAATGTTAATTATGTGTTTGAAAAATATTAAACATGCATAAACAATATTTCTGGTGTATACGACAAATATATACAACATGTATGATATGTAGACATTTTCTGCAAAAAATATAAAAATAGAGAGAAAACAATCAAAGAAAACCGATGAAAAGCGAAGAAAGGACCCAAAAAACTGAAGAAAAAAAGAAAAACAAAAGGAACCCTAATAGAAAAAGAAAAACCGAAGAAAACAGAGTGAAGAAAAGAAACTCACGAGACGGAACTACAACTCGCAGCGGGCGAGATATAGCCCTAGCAGACAGCAACCGTACAGGCCAAGACATGGTGCTATCTAGTTTGGAGCTCTCCCCCAACGGCCCAACCCAACCGCGCGCGCAGCCTCAAGCGAGGGCAGCCACGCACCGGAAGAGCCGCCGCCGCCGCTCGCCTGCTCCTGCCTCGTGCGCCGCCGCCGCCGCGTGCTGCTTCCGCTCCCGCGCCGGCACCGCCGCAGCTCTCCTGCTCTCGCCTCGCCCCGTCCCGGGGCCCGCGCAGGCGCTGCTCCTGCGGTGCCCGGCCGCCACACCACACGCTTGGTCCATCTCGGTTTAGGTGAGTTTTGAGGCAGCCTGCAGCCGGCGGTGGCTTTCAACATTTCGTATCCTGTGTGTATGTGTACGTGTCCAATGTCCTGTATGTGTCGTGCTTTGGTGCTGCAATTTAGTGGTAGGCATAGAGATTTTGTTATGCGTGTGTGGTTGCGCACAGCTATTTCAACATTTTCTTGTCAATTGTTGTACAAACTGTCAAATATAAGATGAAGCAAGCCATTGATTTGGTACTCTTTTCTATACCTGTAATGTTATTTGTAGTTTTTTCATATTATGTCTATTCTGATGGGTCGTGAGGCATCGAGTTTAATTTCTAGCTTTATTGTGCAATTAAGCCATATATTGTACTCCCTCCGTTCCTAAATACTTGTCTTTTTAGAGATTCCAAATGGACTATTACATACGGATGTATATAGACATATTTTAGAGTGTAGGTTCGCTCATTTTGCTCCGTATGTAGTCACTTGTTGAAATCTCTAGAAAGACAACTATTTAGGAACGGAGGGAGTATTTAGCATCTGCCCCTGCTCAATAGAAAATCATGTATCTGTGCGTGCCAATAGGTTGAATTTTATTCTGCTTTCTTTCGATTGGCATAATAAAAGAGCTTCTGTACAAAATTGTCTTCCGCACTAGTATTACTAACTATGCCTTCTCTGTTGCTGTGGGGACAGTTATTATTGGCATCCAAGCTTGCCATCCAGTCAAAATCTCCTTAACTTGATGTTCGTATTCAAGGATGCTGGAAGAGGTGCTGCAGGGTGAGTAATGCAGCCACAATCTGCTTATTATATGCATAAAGCTGAGACCAGTGGATTAGTAAATCTTCCTTCATGATAAGCACAACTAACTGAATGCCTCTATTTCCCTTCACCAGGTGTGGGCTTAGCTGTTCATGCTGCTAGGCCTTTCCAAACGGAGGCTCTGCACGACTTCCTGTGCATGTTTTTGGGTTTGCCCATGGACAACTTTGGCCATGCACAAACACAGCCATCTCCTCTGGTACCGTTTCAGCAGCCATCTCCTCTGGTATCATTTCAGCAAACATTTACCATCGTTGTCACTGATTCGTCTTTGCGTGGCGAATTTTGGCACTCACTTATCACCCGAGAGATCAAGAAAGCAAGGGGTTCGTGGCATCCATGATGCATTGAGAGTCATGCACCTCGTGCCAGGGAAGGCATATAATGGCAAGGAGGAAGGTCCATCTCACCGCCGCCTTATCAACGACTGTATGCATGACATAATGGGAGTTCAGCCAGAAAATCGTGTTATGCGTAATGGAAAAGTGCAGTTTGTTGGCTCAAGCAATAATACAGAGCAAATTTTACCCAATACCGTTGATTCTAATGATATCTCTGCTTGTCCTTCCATTAATAAGCTCGCAAAGGGAAACAAGTTTATGCTACTTGTGGAGCTGCATAGGAGAGGAATGAGTGCGGATATATCTATTCTAGCATCTGCCATGAGCTTTTGTGCTGTTAAGCAATCCATTAGGGGAGGTGTCCAGCTCCATGCTCTACTGGTGAAAGTTGGTTATGAATTGTCAGTCCTTTCTGGCACCTCTCTAATCAGCTTATATGCAAGATGTTATCAACTGGAGAATGCTTGTCAGGTTTTTCAGAACATGCCAGTTAAAAATACCGTGTCGTGGACAGCACTCATTTCTGGTTATGCGCAGGATAATAAGGTTGAGCCTTGCCTCCAGGTGTTTCAGCTGATGAGGCAGTCAGCGTGCAGGCCTAATGACATCACATTTGCCACTATCTTCAGTGTGTGCACTAACCACGCACTTCTTGCACTTGGTAAAAGTGTTCATAGTCTAGAACTGAGAATGGGTTTTGATTTGTGTGTGCATGTCTCAAATGCACTGATATCAATGTATGCAAAGTGTGGGAGTATAGATGAGGCCCAGTCCATATTTGAGAGCATTGCGTGCAAGGACCTGATTTCTTGGAACTCCATGATATTTGGATATTCACAGCATGGCCTTGCTGAGCACTGCCTAAGCTTGCTAAAAGAAATGGAGGAGGAGCACGTAGTGCCTGATGCAATCTCCTTCCTTGGCATCCTGTCATCATGTCGGCATGCATGCCTTGTAGAGGAAGGCCGGCGCTGCTTCAAGGCAATGATCAGACTTGGAATGGAACCAGAGTTAGATCACTACTCGTGTATGGTTGACCTCCTCGGCCGGGCAGGATTGCTCGATGAAGCATGGGATTTGATCCATACAATGTCCACGTCCCCAAATGCAGTCATATGGGGTTCTATGCTGGCTGCCTGTAGGATGCATGGGAATATTCCGATTGGCATCCATGCTGCAGAGCACCGTCTTAAGCTGGAGCCAGGTTGTGCTGCAACTCATGTACAGCTAGCAAATCTATATGCTAGCATTGATTGCTGGAGTGATGTGGCCAGAGTGAGGATGATGATGAAGGAGAGAGGACTGAAGACGAACACTGGGTGCAGCTGGATAGAAATTGGCAATAAGGTTTATACCTTCACAGCAGAAGACAGATCAAAGAGCCAACAAGTAAATCATGTCTTGGCTGTTCTTGACTGCTTGCGCTCTCATATGGAATACAAGTATGATCTGCTGATAGATGGTCTTGAGTTTGATGAGCCTGAATATTTCAAGGTAGGTTCGAGCACTAAATAAAATATTGGAAGATCATAGATCGCCTCAGTCATTTGTCTATATGAAGATTGAAGAATCAATTCTATAGAAAAAGCATGACTCACACTTCAGGGACCTGCGATATGATTCATCTGATTTCTACCTCAAATTGTTCGATATTATATTGCATCAGCTTTAGAATTTTCCCATCTGCCATCTGATTTGAGTTTTGATGCTCAATGTAGTCTTATTTATACAATTGTTGTAAATCAGGTTTCATTAGTGATTAGTACAAACCATGCGGGGACTTTAGATGTAAATTGGAGTCAAAATATGAGAAAGGCTGGCTTGATTGACTAAAGGATTGACGTTTTCTTTCTCTCCTGCTATTTTTGCACTGATCTGAAAATGAAAATTACCTATTACTTCTTGATTGCAACTTATAGATAACTAGTATCCTCTAATAATTATTTTGTAGTTGCATTTATTATTTTTCCTTTGGGTTGTAAAAGAAACAAATTTGATAATGGGCAATTCTATATTTTACATTGTTTTCACTTATGTTAGTATATTTCACTACAATCTCCTCTAACCTGTAAGCGGGGTCAAAAGCCAGGTACTTTTAGTAAATTGACAGCAAAGTACATAATCACAAAACTATAGAGACACTTATTGAGAATCCGAAACTTAACCGTTGGAAATGCAAATTACCTATACTTCTTGATTGCAACTTGTAGATAACTAGTATCCTCTACTAATTATTTCATAGTTGCATTTATTATTTTTCCCTTTGGGTTGTAAAAGAAACAAACTTAATAATGGCCAATTCTATATTTTACATTGTTTTCACTTATTTTAGTATATTTCTTGTAAGCGGGGTCAAAAGCCAGGTACTTTTAGTAAATTGACAGCAAAGTACATAATCACAAAACTATAAAGACACTGAGAATCCGAAGCTTAACCATTGGACATGCTGCCGACAATATTTATGAACTTCACATCCAAAATATGTAGGCACCTTGCACATCAGCAGAGTTTCAGGTCCTGACTAACAAAAGTTCAGATTATTGTTGGCAAGGAACTCCACAGAAAGCACCATGATAGCAATCAAATATTGTTCGTCGAGATAACACCCACTAAATCTAGCAGCTAAGACCAAAAGCATACTTCAGCGCTCAGGCATGAACACCATGACCGGTTCCGTGTAGCATTTGAGAAAGTTTCCGTCGCTTCCAACCACTGACGATGGGGAAAATGTGCGACTCAGCAGAAGAACATCGATGACGCTACATTGCGATGCAGACGAGGCAGCTCTGGCACCGGAGCAGCCTCAGCCTGGGAAGACGTCTCCGACATGTCATCGAGCCTGGTGAACTTGGCCACCTGGCCCGCGGCAAGGTGTGCGTAGAAGATGGGAGCAACTGAGAGGGAAAATCAGATGATCAGCCATGCCTTTCTGATACATGTTGCGGAATCAAGTAATGGGAAATCATGCTACCTACTGAGATTGCTGTGGTGCTCCTCTGGTACCTGAAACGAGTTCGCAAGCATTGAAATATCAAAAGGATGCAGCGAAGATCGGAGGCAAGGTAACACTTCCATCTCATCAGCAGAGAGGACTACTGACCTGAAAATGATAATTTGTTCCGGCCTCTGACCATCGTTGTTTCTGAGGAAGTCAACTAGTGAATCCCTGAAATTGTTATTGTCCCAGTGAGCAACAAAACAAAAGCATATGTATAATTAGGAAGCATTGCTATTACAATTGTTTAAATTGCACTTCTATAAATCCAAGCATAAGAAACTCACTTAATGAGGCCATGATCATCGTCTCCAACTGGCTTAAACAAGGTATCAATCATTTCCAGCCTGGGTGACTGAGTGCACACAGAAGCTCTGTACTTTGACATGATTGGCCACTTCAATGAACTAACCACCTAGGTAAAAGCCAAAAAACACCTGGGTGAGTAAGCGAATTGTCGGTTGGAAAATCTCTCCAGGACCATCAGCTGAAACCTGACTTTATTACTGTAGGAAACTGTAAACATAAGCAAAACTTACTGCAGCAACCGATGGCACGTTTCGTCCTGGTGAACCATGGGAAACATCCATACCAAAGATGATGGTTGGTACCTTCGACACGTGAGGAATAGCACGGGTTGTTTCCTTTTTTAGCAATGAATTCAACCCGCCCAGCTGGATTGGCAAAAACGAAACAAAACAAAAGCAAAGCATTCAGTTTTTCAGCTAACAAATCTAAATTGTGTGGTACATTGAAGATGCAAATATAGATCACACTGCAAACCTTGGCATTTATCTTTAGCAGCACATTTGTGAGGTACTGATCTTTGATATTGGGAGGAGGAACCAAGCATTGCGTAAAGATACCATGCTCCACAAGGCATTCGCGCTTCCACGGTCCTGATAAGAAAAATTGAGGTTTGGATAATAAATTAAGACATAATAAAGCTTATTTGCAAAGCTGAGGTAGCAGAGCAAACCGTAGATGTCACTGTTCTTCTCAGGAAGAACGCACAGGAGAAAGAGAAAGTCTGGTTTTCATGTTAACTTTGCTTTAATCTGCTGAAACATAGCCTCCACCCTTTTTGTAGGAGGCTCTCGTCTCATTTTGTGCCTCTCCTCAATAACGCCACATTCGGCCATTTCCTGCAAATAGAACTGGTTGATCAATACCAGAATTTTTTGAAAAAGCCCAAGATTAGGCAAAAAAAGTTAACTCACAATTCCCTTCTTGGCACCAGACTGGATAAGGCGCCTGGCAAGATCTTCAACATTACATCGTGCAGAAAAATTAACAACTCCCCACATCTTCACTTTTATGGGTTGAATGAACCTCTGGAGAGCAGAACTGGGAATGTTACCACATCGATAATAATACGCAACAATAAAGAGTTTACAGTGCGCATGTGTAGAGTTCAATCAAGAGGTATGTTCAGGTGCTCACGTCATTATTGAAGTTCCACCTCCCATTAGGTGTATGAAGTTCTCTACCATCTGCAGAGTTTAACTGCACATTACGATATTTAATTAGATGCAAGCAGCAAAGGGCCTGCATAGTAGGCGTTCAAAGACATACATCCAATGAAAAGAGCAGTATGGCTCTCCTAACCTGTGGTGCCTGAAGGACTCTACCCTCGACTTGAGTAAACTCTGGATCCATCACAATGCCGCATTCCCTCAGCACTGGATCGGAATTGTAATTATTGGCACGCAACACCTGGGTAAATAAAATTGAGATTTATTGTATTTTTTGATATTTTTAGACCCTGTGAACATATCTCCTGCAGTATAGCTGAATTCAGGGTATCAGAGTAACATACACCAGACAAGCTCAACATCCTTTGGTCCGGCCTCTGCCTGGATCCCTCCACCAGCTTTGACCTTTGCAACGTCGACAGAGACTTTTTATACCTTTGTAATGGCACTAGAACGCAAACCTGGTTGCAAACATGAAATTAGCACCAAAAACACAAGAAACTTTGCACCAAAAGAATGACTCAAAACGAGAACAGGAAGAGAGGGACGGACCTCCAGCGGGAGGTATGTTGGGCGCTCTGGCTTACCCGCAATTAGACAGGGCAAATTAGCAGACTTTTCCATCTTCATAGACCAACGATTCATGAAGTGATCATAAACAGTTACATCCACAGTGTTGCCATCCTTTTGCTTTTGTGGGAAACTAGAACAAGAATGAATTTATTGAAACAAGAGGACGTGAGGCGTATGCCCTGAACTTGCATATAACAATTCAAGAGTAATAACATCTTACGTCAGCTCATTGCAATTCTTTTCGGACAATCCAGCAATACTAAATTCCATCTTCGTGTGAATGGTCTCGATCCTTAATTTGTTCAGTGCCCGTTTGGCCTAAAATCATGTCAAGGGTGACCAAGGTTAGAGCAGGTAAACATGTTAAGTCTAGTGATGGATTCTTGAAGGACTGAACATCTACTAAGAAATTACTAGGTTGTAACATACTTTGCGCCAGTCAATTCTGGAAGTGTCCTTCACATCCTGGTTGAAGAGTAGAAAGTCAATCACAGGCCCGGGTCTCACTACCATCGTGGTGGTTAAATCTGCAAAAAATTCAATAATCAATCACACGTGCAAATATGCCACCTTCAATCTTGTAACAAACTTTTTTCCAGGAAGCTCATGCAAATTAGGCCTCGAGATTATAAACATACCAACATTGAGCGAGAGCCCACTTTGAGTGGGTCGAAAGCTAGAATAAAAACCCTGACAACCGCGAACACCGCCACCCAACTCCACATAACGGGAATCTTTATGGAAAAAAGACTGTCGGACTAAAAGGCAATTCCTGCAGCCAGCAAGAAAGCCGAGTGAGTATAAGAACATGGAATTGTTTGCTAGAGCATCTCCAACAGCCGCGCAACGCGCCGCGCGCAAAAAAGTCATTTGCCGCACGCCGTTCTTCTGGTTTGGCGCGGCCGGCAGCGGTGGCTCCAGCAGTCGCGTCAAAATTGAACGCCCGCATGTAGCTCCAGCGGCCGCGCTAAAATGCAGCGCGCGCTAAACAATGCGTACATTTTTTTTAATAAAATTCATAGATAGAAAAAACGATACACAAATATTTTACATAGTTCCATAACATAGATAGATAAAAATTATTTAGATAGTACAAAGACATAGATAAAAACTACTAGTGCAGCTACAGCCTACTCCCAGTCATCGTCATCGTCGTCATCGTCGCCATCCTCGCTGGTCTGATCCGAGGTATCGAGCCACATGTCTTCCCAACGATCATCATTAGATGTAAAGATCGTCTCACCACCATTCTCAATTACATCGCACTGGGATAGCGCCAGGGCCTTCCGCCGACGCCTGTCCAACCGCTCAGCGCGGCGCCTTGCCCAGTAGGCTTGCTCGTAGGATACGTCCTCCGGGTGTTGTTGGCGCCACTCCGCCATGACCCGCTCGTCCTCATGGGCGACGAGGAGGCGGTTCTGCCGCTCAGCGTGCTCCGCACGGTCTTGTGCCGTGCGAAGACGAGGCGGCGGGGCGACGTCCAGCGCCTGCTGCAACGTGTGGACATCGTGGAAGTTCATCTGCTGGCGCGGCCTGCCTAGGCGCCACGCCGCCGCGTTGTACGTGCGGGCGGCCTCGTGCGCCGTGTCGAAGGTGCCGAGGCCGAGCCGGAGTTGGCCGGACCGTATCTCCGAGTAGAACCCGCCGTTGGGGCGCTGGCGGACGCCGCGGTAGCCCGACACTCCTCGGCGGCGCGGCGGCATGGTGGCGGGGCGCTGGAGCGGTGGCGCGGGTGGCAGCGGAAGCAGTGGAGGGGCGTGTGGCAACGGAAGAGGAAGAGAAGCGTGTGC